ATCAGCAGTGTAGTAGTGTATAGTCACCTTTATATTTGAGTTGATGGTCAAACAGTAACAAGAAAATTGTACAGTACGTGCGACTACATACTATTACATGTCAACGAAGCCAGACACTAGTACGCAGTGACTGTGACTGCACACTAAGAAATGTAGTACATTGATTTTAATAGACCCTGATTCATCTTGCGTCATAGTGATTCACGACCCGTGATATATTTAACAGTATTAGGGTTTGTGGATGTTAACTATTGTGTAGTCATAGGATGTTAACTACTGTGTAGTCATAGGATGTGGAATGTGACAACACACTAATGCATTGAAGTGCAATGTAGGGTCTTCAGTAACCTGTGCTGTTGAATAAGAAACAGTTACAATGACAGACAAATGCATCATTATCAATCGTTGTGACAACACACTAAGTTACTGTGACTAAACGCTAGTTAAATGTCAGTCTATGTGACTACAAACTGGTTCAGTGTCAGTAAGTGTCACTAGCTATTATTGTTTAGTCAATGACTGTGACTACACAATGTTGCAATGACATTCATTTAGGTTGTAGACTGTCATACTCACATAAATAAATTGTCTATAAGTTTGAACTCATGTGAAATGTTCAATGTACAATGTACAAAATTCATCTGTAAATATGAATTTTAATCCGAGAACCCTGTTTGAAACTTTGGGTTATCATTAAGTTTTAAATGATGAGTTCTTTTAACCAACGAATCCTTGATTACACTATTCACTAACAGTTACAAATACAATGATGGCGGAATGATAATATGGCTTGACAGAAAGAAAAAATCTAAACTTAGATTTATGTTTTTGCAACATAAGAAGGCCTCAACAAGTTGCCACTATTATGCCTATTACCACTCCTCAAGAAGGGAATCAGGCGATTCAAGTTAAAAACGTCAGTCCATTTGATGTTTTTAACGATAACGTCAAATGGACTGACGTTTTTAAGTTGCATAGGGCCATAGTTTCAAAGCTAAAAACGTCAGTTGATCTGATGTTTTTTGGCTTAAAAAGGTCAAACCAACTGACGTTTTCAAAACTCCATGGATTTGAGAATTACTTTCAAACCAACTCTTATTTTGGAATTTTTTTTCAAAATACTTTGGGATGGGTCAAAAGCTCTGATCTACTTGAGTCCATTCAAGGAATTTTGGATTTGGAACTTCATTGTTAGAAGAATCAACTACTGTAGCATCTGGACAAGATTGGGTGCCCTCAACATAGTCTAAGAACCCATGAGCACACAGGACATGGTGGATTTGAGTCTTCCATGTTCTGTAATTAGTGGAGTCTAGTTTAATGGTGACAAGAGAATGTATATTGGAAAGAAGAAATTGAAGAGCATAGGATAACAACATAGCTATGGGGTAGGGTCTGTTTGTGGAATGAAAAAAAAAAAAAAAATTTACATTAGTCAAGCATGCTATGATGAACTAAAAAGAAAAGGAGAAGAAGACGTTAGTCAAGCATGGCTCTGATACCATGTTGACAAACCAGAGGCACTCTCACAGGCAATTAATAAATAAATCTCTATGTAATCTGGAGAGTCCATCTCATCTATTATTTATACTACTAATCAGTTGATTATGAGATAAGAACTAGATAAGTAATATATAATCTACCAAGTGAACTCCTAAAGCAAATAAAATTCTATCACATAATAAACTGATATACTAGATTTACTCTTAAAGCAAACGAAATACTATTAATGATAATCACATAAGTAGATAACTCCTTCAGGCCGAGAACCACTCTAATAGTGAGAGGGCATTGAGGTTGCACACAAGATCAGATTAGTATTCTGTGGTAGGCCTGCCAAAAGGTCTTGTCTGTCCTGTTTCTAAATCCTGAAGGTCTCAAGATTCTGTTCTAACTCATGTCCGATCTATTTAAAATCTTAAAATGTTGGAGGTTTGTGTTGTGTCAGTTCTAAGTTGTGGTTAGTCGGTTTGTGTTCTGCTTTTGCAAGTTCATGGGTTTTGTCCTGAATTGTCATGCCAAGTCTAATTGGGAGCTGCTGCCATTTCTTGCCATCAGGTTTTCATACTCAAGATTACGCTTGGGGATTGGCAGCTTGCTTTGGCTCATTAGGAACTTGCACTAAGCCAATGCCCCACCGTGCCCACCACCACCACAATTAAACCACTGAACCTTAACACCATCATGTAGTTTCAGAACTCTCCCCAGACAAAAGGTGAAGGTTATTAGGATGCTAATGGACAAGGGCAGAGCCAGAATTTTTGTTTATCCCGGGCTAAACTAAACATTCATACAACTAACAAAATACAAATATAAACTTATAAATATATGTACAATATTACAAATGTAAACTCATAAACACTTACTAATGAAATTGGATTATTCGATCCTTCGTAGAACAAAAGGCATCTATTATTGAATATGTATCAATTGCTTCCGTCATTTCTCTTTCAATATAGACAACTAATGAATTAGTCAAATACACATCTTCCATCTTGTTATGAAGAGTACTTTTAACATGTTTCATGCCTGAAAATGCTCTTTCTGAAGTTGCCATAGAAACGGGAAAAATTAAAATAAGACAAATCAACCTATCAATCAAATTGTAAGACTCCGCCTTATTTGTTTCTACTAAACCACGACATAATTTTGAAATTGTAGATATACTGTGAAACCTCTCATGGCAAACCACATCAAATCAATAATGATCCAATTGACATTTCAAATTATGTATGTCTTGTCTGTCAAAATCAGCTACATAAAACTTATCAGCAAGTAAACAAATGCGATCAAGATTGAAAGATTTAAAATTGTCCCGAGAATCTAAAGCAGAGCTGAACATAAGTAATTCTATTGTTTCTTCATTGAATCTACTATGTAACTCTTCATTGGAGCTTAAGCTTTAACGACTTTGGGAAATTAGGCTAAAGATTAGTGATTTATTTTATCACTAAAACATTTTGTAACAAAGAAATAATTATTTTTTTGTTGATAAGTTTGAAAGAGCAATTTTAAGATGTACTCTTCATTGGAGCAATTTGTGATTAGCTTGGTAAGTTTGCAGTAGCAACCATTGATATTGGTGCCAAATTAGCCCAGAAATGACCACTAAGCCCAATACCAATGAGACAGATCAATGTTATATATTGGGTCTGGTATCTGGTTGACTTAGCCTTTTATTTTGTTGATCTTAGATTGGCTTGTCCAAGGTAAAACAAAAACTGGTCTGATACTATGGTGCATGTTGGGCTAATGATTGCAATACATATAAAAGTGATAATTTTTTTTTTTTGGAACTTTGGGCTTCAATCCACCGAAATCCACTAACAGCTCCGTCCTTGCTAATGGAGGGGATGTAGAGAAGTGATTGGTGGTCATTGGTACAACGCTACACCTTATAATGGTGGAGAGTTAGAATGTGTGTGGGGGAGGGGGGGGGGTCCATTTTGACCATGCAAATGTATGCATTTCCCCACCTGTAAATGTCTTCAATTGATTAAATTCAGATATTACATGGTTAATTGAAAAAATGATTTTACAATTTATCTTCATCGGTTACGGAATCAAATTTCGGCAACCAACCAATCCACCAATCATTACAAACCGTACAAAAACTCTTCATCATTTGCATGTACAAGTCATTTACCAATCAATGTACCACCCAGGGCCGCTCCACCCCTATGCAAGTGAGGCGATCTCTTAAGGGCCCCACTCCCGTAGGGTCCCATACACACATTTCTTGCAAAATTATATGACTGAATTTTAAAAAGAATGTAAAAAATTTGGAATATTATGTGAAACTCACAGATAAAAAAAATGACTAATATTTTTCTTTAAATCATATATATATTCAAAAAAGAAGAAAAAAAGATCGTAAAATATTATTGTGCAAAAAATTATAATATTTTTGCTTCATTATCTCTCTAAAGGGAAATGTTATTTAGACTTTATTTGAAAACCTTATTTAGGAATTTAATGACGTATAACTATTAAATTAATTGTGATTGAGAAATTTATTTAACATTAAAACTTACAATTAATCAAATAATTATATTAAAATTATATCATTAAATTCCGAAATAAAATCCATGTGACGTTGATTATCTCTAAATTATGTCCCCAAATTGTCCCAATAGCATTTCTCAAATGAGCATCATCACAATTTCAAACAACGTGTAGAAAGGAGCACATACGGTGGGTCCCTATAATAAAGGTCGAAAGCACACTAGAAGGGTATGGGTACCACTGGAGTATAGCATTAAGATGGACCAATGCTTGAGTCCACACGTCTGAGTCTTGGTGATAGACCTATGCCTAAGTCTACACGCCACTGGAGTTTACCATTACAATTAGTTCTCAATGGAATCGAGCCAAAACTACACTAGCCAATCCATGTGTTGTTTGGGTTTGATTCATTTACAATTCAAGCTACTTCATACAAAACAATCCCAATGTTTTTTAAGCAAACCAGTTTTATATAACCTGCCCCTTCATTAAATTTTGTGTCACAGGTTTTATAACCGACACCTTTAATTTGGTGGGTTTACATTACATATGAAAAATTACTATAAAATAGAAGTGAGATTATAACTCTACTTGGTAAGTTATAACAAAATAGGGTTATTTTTGATCGATTCCAATGTTTGAGATTGATAATATAATTTTTAGATCGGTCTTAATAATTTGAGTCATTACATAACTCCAATGAATCACAACAGACCTTTACGATTCGAAATTTAACTATAAAAAAGTTTTAGCTGACTCTTACTGTTGTAAATTTGGGTGTTGTACTACATTTGATACCATAGTCGTTTTCACATCATGAGTCATTCCCTAGTTTAAGAGAGACTTGAATGTGAAGCTGTCCGAAAAACAAAATTATTATATTTGTAGATATTTTTATCACGGTTGTAATACCGAAAAAAATGATAAAAATAATTATCATAACAATGGTAAAAGCATCTGCAACAATGATAAAAATACCCACAAAAGTAGTAATGTTTTTGTATTAAACAAAAGTGATAAAAATAGTTACAAAAATTATAAAAACACCATTTAAAATAGTAAATTTTAGAGGTACGGTACCAAATTTTTTTTGTCGATACTGTAGTCAAGTGCCTTGAATATGGGGATGACATAACTTTCCTCGCTATTATGGGCCACTGGAAAGAAAATGGCGAGCAAGAAGACTTCCAAAGTCTAGTCTTGTGGATTGAGCCAAAATTCTGGGAATTACTGTACAAGAATTGGCACATAAAAAAGACCTTTGAACTATCCCATTTACACATCGAACAACGTAATGGGTTCTCTAGCATTAGATAAGGTCTTTTTCCTTGCTTTCTTGCTCCCAATTTACATATCTTTCTCTACCACCATTGTTGCTTCTGCTTCTGCTTCTACTGAAGAAGCTAATGCTCTCCTCAAATGGAAAGTTACCCTTCAAAATAGCTCTCGGCTATCTTCATGGACACTTTCTCCTAATGACACCTCCAATTCTTCTATCCCTCCAAAGCCCAGTGCAAGCCACTGCACTTGGTTTGGAGTTTCATGCAATGACCATGGAAGCGTCATTAGATTGAACCTCACAACTTCAGGTCTAAATGGTACGCTCTACGACTTCCCATTCTCGTCTCTCCCTAATCTTGCATATCTCGAAATCAGTCTGAATGAACTCTTCGGTCTAATCCCACCTCAAATAGGTCAGCTCTCCCAACTCATTTATCTTGATTTCTCTGTCAATCAACTTTCCGGAATAATACCACCAGAGATTGGCCTGCTAAAAAATCTTCAGACCCTCCATTTGGTTGAAAATTCTTTAAATGGCTCGATACCTCAAGAAATTGGCCAGCTAAAATCACTGACTGAACTTGCTCTGTATACCAACAATCTCAATGGTAACATTCCTGCGTCCATTGGAAGTTTAAGCGAGTTAGCTTACTTGTATCTATATCAAAATAACCTTTCTGGTTCCATTCCTCCAGAGATGGGAAATCTTTTCAATCTTGTTGAACTCGATATAGACTCCAATTACCTAACAGGTCCCATCCCATCCAATTTTGGAAACTTAAATAAGCTAACTATGCTACATTTGTTCCATAATGCACTTTCTGGTTCGATTCCCCCAGAGATTGGGAAGTTGAAATCGCTTTATAGTCTAAGCCTTCATACAAATAACCTTTCTGGCTCAATCCCTTCATCATTTGGTGACCTAAGCTCCCTCAATATTCTGCATCTTTACGCTAATCAACTTTCGGGTTTCATTCCTAGAGAGTTGGGGAATTTGAAATCCCTCATTGATCTGGAGTTGAGCGAGAATCGCCTCAATGGTTCCATTCCTGCCTCACTTGGTAATCTGAGCAATTTGGAGATTTTATTCCTCCGCGAAAACCAACTTTCTGGCCCCATCCCACAAGAATTGGGAAATCTAAAATTGGTTGTACTTGAAATGGACAAAAATCAACTCTCTGGCCATTTGCCCGACAAGTTTTGCCGAGGTGGAAAACTACAAAACTACACTGTAGCTGACAACCACCTTGTTGGTCCAATACCCCAAAGCTTTAGAAACTGCTCAAGCTTAACCAGAGTCCTCCTCAATGGAAACCAGCTCAACGGAAATCTGTCAAAAGATTTCGGTATCTACCCAGACCTGCAATTCATGGATCTGAGTAACAATAAGCTTTATGGCGAACTCGCGAACAACTGGGGTAGGTGCAAACAATTGTCAAGGCTGCAGATCGCCGGAAACAATATCACCGGTAGGATACCGCCAGAGCTTGGAAATTCACTTCAATTACATGTTCTTAATCTCTCTTCAAATCATTTATCAGGGGAGATTCCAAAGAAATTCGGAAAGTTGACTTCTCTGCTGGAGTTGGATTTGAAGGATAATCAACTTTCTGGTTGTATACCTCAAGAACTCGGCTCACTTGATAAACTGTCGTACTTAGACTTGTCCACTAACAGATTTAACGGGCCACTACCAGAATCTCTAGGGGACTGCTTGCAATTGCATTACTTGAACTTGAGCGTCAACAATTTTTTCCAAGAAATTCCATTTCAGATTGGTAAGTTATTTCAGTTGTCTGCACTCGATTTGAGTCAAAATTCTTTGACAGGAAAGATACCACCAGAAATCGGAAGTTTGCAGACGTTGGAATTACTGAATCTCTCCCATAATAACCTATCTGGGTTCATTCCAAAGGCTTTTGAAGAAATGCACGGCTTGTCAAATATTGACATATCCTACAATGAGTTGCAAGGTCCCATCCCCAATAACCAAGCCTTTAGAAATGCCTCGATAGAAGAGTTGCAAGGGAACAAAGGTTTGTGTGGCAACATTATAGGATTGCAACCTTGCAAAAATCCTTCCGAGGTCAACAAAGATATTACGAAGTCTGGCCATAAACTCATTCTCGTAATCATAATCCCTCTCCTTGCAGCACTTGTACTGATATGTGCATTTATGGGACTTCTCATCATTTCTAAAAAGAGAAAGAGAATCTCACTTGACAAGCAGACCAAGATGCAGAATGGAGATCTATTTTCAATATCAACTTATGATGGGAGAGCAATGTACAATGATGTCCTACAATCCACAAAGGAATTTGATGCCACATATTGCATTGGACAAGGAGGATATGGGATCGTTTACAAAGCAAAGCTACAACTAGCCAACACGGTGGCTGTAAAGAAACTATACTCTTCCGAGATAGAGGATTCTAAAGGTTTTCTAAACGAGGTAAGGGCGTTGACAGAGATTAGGCATCGAAACATTGTGAAATTCTATGGTTTTTGTTCACATTCTCGACATTCATTTTTGGTTTATGAGTACCTCGAAAGGGGAAGCTTGGCCAAAATCTTGAGCATGGAAGATGAAACTAAGAAATTGGACTGGTCTAAGAGGGTTCGCATTGTCAAGGGTGTGGCTCATGCTTTGTCATACATGCATCATGATTGTTTGCCTCCAATTGTTCATCGAGACATTACCAGTGGTAACATTTTGCTCGATACCGACTATGAGGCTCATGTTTCAGATTTTGGCACTGCCAAACTTCTAAAGCTAGACTCGTCGAATTGGAGTGCTCTTGCAGGCACATATGGGTATATTGCACCAGGTAATATAGGTTTTTGCTTTTTGCTCTCATACATCTAGGATTGTAGAGTTTATATATTATTGTCTAGTGCTACACGAAGAAAATATGTCTTTTGTGTTTTTTTATTTCTTAATCTAGTATTGTATGAATTATCTTAAAATTAAATGATTTTTTATAACACAAACACAATTAGGGATGACAATGGACCGGACAAAAATGGGTATTCGATCCAGTGGCGTTAGATGGATGCCGGTGAACGTATACGGGGATACACATATAAACCCATGCGGGGATGAAGGCGGGGATGGACTGACACTTACCAATACCCCGCTTTACACGTTATTATTTTTTATATATATATATATATATATAGACACATGTTGCTGTTAATACAAATCTATATATTATTGAATGATTTTTTCTTTTAAAAATTGTTTTGTTTTTTTATTTTTTTTCTTGGTTTTGGTTTGTAAAAGTGTAAATTTTTGTGTTTTTATATTTTTTTTATATTAGATTATGTTATGTTACATTATGTTGTGTTACATGATGTTGTGTTACATGATACTGTGTTAGATTTACAAGGGAGACAAACTTTTAATTATATTTTATTGGATTATGTTGTAGACAAGATTTTAATTATATTATGTTGTAAATGACCAACTTTTAATTATGCTATGATATTCTATAATTATGTTAGATTATTTAAAATGTTAAATTTATTTAGAATTTTAGATTATATTGGCTTGAGCTTAGGCGGGTAAGGAAGACGGGGGTGGGGGCGGAGGTGAAGGTGGGGGACGGGGCATGGGCGTAAATTACAAATTTACCCGCGGATGGAGATGGAGATGGAGATGGAGATGATAATTATACCCGTTAACTGGAGTAAACTGGGGATGTACAGAGTTTTTTTAAGCGGGTACAGGGATGGAGACTACGCCCCTGCCCTTGCTTCGGTCCATTGACATCCATAAACACGACACAAAACCAAAATGACACGGCACGACCTTTGTAAATTTACAGAACATAAAGAGCGCAAATACATGATTATCTGTTGGTTTTCTTCCCAGAGTTTGCTTCCACAATGAAGGTAACCACGAAGTGTGATGTTTATAGCTTTGGAGTATTAACACTGGAAGTGATGAAAGGAAAACATTCAGGGGATTATATTTCGTCTATAACATCTCCATCAGCTGAGAAAATATTATTGAAAGATTTGTTGGACCAACGCCTTGAAGGTCCCCTACCTGAAGTTGAGAGAGTGTTGGTAACCATTATGAAGGTTGCCAAAGCATGCTTACATGCCAATCCACAATTTAGGCCAACGATGCAGGATGTTTCTAAGCTGCTGTCAACTCAGTGCATCTGGGATTAGATAGTTACAAATGCTTTCGTGTGGATTTATGTTTGTGTTTGTGTGTGTGTGTGTGTGTGTGTGTGTGTATGTGAGAGAGACAGAGAGAGAGTTTTAGACATTGTAATCTGCATTTTATATAATCTTTCAAGAGCAAGGAAGTTTACATTGGAAAATTTGTTTGAATAAGCTAAGAATATATTGTGAGCACATGTTTGTCTCCAATGTTGAGAGAATGTGCACACTGATGATGTTTTTCAGACCTAGGTGTGTAACTCGGGCAGGTTGAAAGACAACTTGACCTCAATCCAAGTTAGAAACATCCTCAAGCCAAGACTCAAATCGAACCCAGATTTCAACCCAAATCCACTAACCTGAGCATTGCCTAATCCTAGATTTTAAAATTCGAATTGAACCAGTGTTGCCACCACCACCACCAAACCGCCATAGCTAAATTCACAATATCAAAACCGCCACAATCAAACAAAAAAATCCAACGAAATCAAGGAGAGTCAAGTAATCAACCCAATCAACATACTTACCCAAAAATCACAATCAACACAAATCTCAAGCAATCAGACTCCACAGACCCAAACAAGCAAAATCAGCTGTGCTGATTTTACATTTTTACTAACCTTCAACGCTAGATCCGAAGCAGTGGATCTTCTCTCAATTGAGTTCAATCCATGGAGGACAAAATCTTCTCCGTCTTCACCCAGATTCAACACTTACCAAGCACAGATCTCCATCTTCGCCCACGAACACCTCTATCTCTCTCTCTCTCTCTCTCTCTCTCTGGCGTTTCATATACCCCAGGCATGTAATTATTGGCGAATTATACTTTTCACCCTACAGAATTTAAGAATTTTTATTTTATATCTTTAAAAATTATATTTTTATAATAAAATAACTTACAATTTAAATCTAAAAAATAAACAAAATAATTTTTACTATTCACAAGTAACATCACTTTAAATTTTACTTCAAAATTAATTTAATAGTTAATATTAACCCCCTAAATTTAATATAAAAAATAAGTCCCTAAGGGGTGTGTTTGGAATAACTTTTTAAAAGTATTTTTAAAAATTATATTTTATAAATATTTTAAAAAAAATTGTGCTTGAAACTGCGCGACCACTACACCACCACCACCACTGTCGCCGTCGCCGCCGCCACCACCATTGCCACCACTGCCACTACTACCACCGTCATCACGATCATTGTCATCCACCACACCTATCATTGTCTCTTACCACTACAACTGTCACCCATCGCCACCCACCACCTCTCACCCCCGTTATAATTGATGTTTAAATTTATTTATCTCTCTTATATGTTTGTTATTTGATTTTGAATATAAATATAAAAATATTTATTATTTATCATTTGTTATTAGTTTATACCTTCAGGCATAGACAATAATTAATATTTTTATATTATACTTTCAATATATTAAAAAGTATTGCGGTACAACCTTATGTTATTTTTTCTATCAACATCAATGGCATGGTTTTTATTGGAACGAGCTATAGAAGTTAACATAAGGGTGACAACAACACTATTAATTTTTGAGAATACAAAACAAAAAACTTATTGTACAAAGTGAGATTCCTTATATAATTATGGCACTGATTTTTTTTTGGAAAAATTATACTTAAACTCCTAAAATTTATCACTTAATCACTTAAATCGTTCATATTTTAAAATATTATATGCAAATCCCTAAAGTTTATACATGCGTAACACCTAGACTAACGAAAAATTACACTCAGACCTTTTGACTTTTTTAGACATACAATATTAAGATTTCTCAAGTTTAAAATATTATATTTAATCTAAAAATACTCCAATTAAGGATAAAATATCAAATATTTTAAAATTTAAAATTAAAATTCATATTCTATTATGTCATTTATTGAAATAAAATCAAAACCAAAAATCTAATTTTTTATTTAAAAAATTATAATTAGTGTACAATTATTTTATCTACTGGAATAAATCTAAAAAAATAAATAAGTGGTCAAACTGCAATGGATACAATATTTTCTATCTCTAATTGAAATAATTTAATCATTTAATAGATTTTGTTAGTTCTATAACTAATAAGTGATCTAAGTATAATATATTAGACTTAAAGAATTTAAGTGTAATAAACCTACAAACTTTAAAATGTAATTTACTAACACAGATTTACTAACGGATGTGGGATTGGGGTTTGTATATAATATTTTAAATATCATGGAATTTAAGTGATTAAGTGATATATTTTAGGGGATCTAAATATAATTCTCCCAACTACTCCTTCTTCTTCTTCTTTATTTTTTTGTGTGAAGTAGTAAAATAACATCTATATAATAAAATTGATAGAAAAGTTTGTCTTGAGTTTTTCGCTGTTCAGATTGCTTAATGATTTTTGATCAAACAGTTCTTGTGCGAAATTTTTCAAAAACTCATTTCTTTCATCTAACTCTCTCTATATATCTATCTTATTCTCTCTCTCTCTCTCATACTATTATCTTTTTTTTTTGTTTCGCTAGTGTTATTTTTTTATTATTTATTCCATAAAACATATAAAATTACATGTTATGCAATTATTTATTCCATAAAATTAATTCAAATTTTTATATATCTAATGGTATGTATTTTTCCGCTTGCTTCCTAATTTATAAATAATACTTAATGTAAATAAAAAAATAACACACATTTTTCACGATTTAATAATTTTTTTATCAGAGTTTCACATCTTTGCCTAAATTTAGGTCTTAATTGCTTCAATGCCTAAATTCCTTTAGAATTCTCACTGACAATGGTTTTTATATAGATTATTTTTATAGTTTTTTTATTGTTTGCACTATTTATTATATTTTATGTGTTTTTATTCTTCTCTTTTATATTATATTTTATGGATTTTCATCTTTCTAAAAGTTCTGCTGGACAAGGTTTTAAATCTATTTTGACTATTTTTTAGGAGAAAAAACACGGGCACCCCATTGAGTTTTGTTAATATTATATAGATACCCGTTGACATTTTCCAAATAACACGGAGAACTCCTAAGGCTTGATACTCATTGCACGAAAACCCCTTCCATCTCCTTTCCATTAATCTTGCTACCGGAAAGTGATGATTTTATCCCAAAAAAAAAAAACTTTATTATTTTCGCAATTGCCCTCTTCCAAATTTCGTAGCAAAAAAATTAAAATTTTAATAAAATAAAAAAATTTTTGATTTAATACTAAAAAAATTGATATAATTTAGTACCCTAAAAAATTGATTAAATGAATTTCAATATTAATTTAACAACATTAAAAAATAATTTAAAATTAATTTGACAAAGTTGAATGTTAATTTGACAAAATTAAATGTCAATTGTATAAAAATAAATATTATTTGTTATTTGATCAAATAAACATGAAATTGACCTTAGATTATATTTTTGACAACATTATCAATTTTTTTGGTACTAAATTTTTTGAACTATCAATTTTTCAATTTTTTTTTTCAACTTTTTATTTTACTTTCATGTATTTTCATGTGAACCAGAGATTTTTGAATTTACTAAGTGGAGGTAAGCGACTCTCTTAAAAAAAAAATTGGCGGATGAACAATTGGTTTGGTTTAAGTATATGTGGTGGAATCTTAACCAAAAGAAAATTTATCAAATGATATAATAAGAGAGAAGACGTTATGCTATACAAAAATTTGTATTTAAATTTTATGAGTTAAAATATAAATTTTTAAGTTATATACAACAAAAAAATTAATAATTTGAGGTCAATTTCATGTTGGTTTAATCACTACCAAATAATATTCAACAAGAAATGAACCTTAAATTGTAAATTAATATATAATTTTATCAAAAATTGACATTTAGTTTTGTCCAATTTATATTCAACTTTATTGAATTAATATCAGATTAAATTTTATTGCTATTAAATTAATATTAAAATTCATTTAATCAATTTTTTGGATATTAAATCAAATCATATTTCATTTTATTAAATTTTTAATTTTCTTGAGTATTAAAGTTGGAGAAAGACAATTGTTAAAAAAAAAAAATTAGGATGAAATCATTACTTTTCGTTAACAATATTGATTAAAGGGAGAGAGAGGGGATCTCTTTGTAATAAATTTCAAATATCATGGAGTTTTTGCGTTATTTATAAAATGTCAGGGGTGTCCATATAATATTGCCAAAATTCAGGGGATGACCATATTTTTTACCCTATTTTTAATTAGATATTAATTTATTATTATTTTAAAAACCTTGAATTACTGTATTTATAATAAAAAAAAGTTATTGGTTAGAAATGTTTGTTGGTAGTCAAAAAAAAATGTGTGAGAATGTGTTTCCATGTATATTTATATGTGGAGAACTGAACATTTGGTAATTAAATTTATAATTATATTACATCATTTGGGATTGAATGGTGATAGTAGTAATAAATTCATGAGTTTTATAAATAAACAAAATTTGATTGATTTTATTTTTTACTTAAATATTGTGAATTTAATTGTGTTTTATTAGTATTTTTTTTTTTTTGCTTGAAGTATTTATTACATGGGAGATAACGTGGATTAGAAATATGGTAATTGAGTTTATAATTATGTTTTGTTATTAGATTGAGTGGTGGTAGAGGTAATAAATTCATGAGTCTTATATATGAGCAAGATTTTATTTATTGCTAAGAAATTTTGAATTTCAATGAGTTATTTTAGTATTTGTGATAAAATTGATGATACACAAAGTGTATTATGCCCAATCAAATCAATTGAGTAAGCGGTGTAAAACAATTAATAATAAGAGACAAAGATTGGGTAGTTGAATCTAGGTGACTTAACAAGTGAAGGCGACAATGATGGTTGAAGAACTCTATTAATAAGAGAGTACAAGATAGCAGGGGGAGAAAGAAAGCAAGAGTATGCTCAAGGTGATGTATGTGTTTTGTTCCCATGTATAGAGAATGTATAATTTATAGGCACATAAAGCGCTAACTGAGGAGGTGACAGAAAGGTCAAGCTACCGAGGAAGATAGCTATAATTGGGGATAGACATT